GTACTCCCTTGCCAAACCCGGGCAGAGTATACAATAGGTCTGGTCCATAGCATGGCATACTTTTATAGAACCTATGACTGATGCATAGGGAATGACTTTCATTCTCTTTCTATTTTCTGCCATGGTCGGGTCTTGAGTTTTACTCAATTTCACACCTTTGCAACACAGGCAAGAACTCTTTCTTTGACTGTTCCATTTTGAACTATTTCAAAATCTTGACAAGGTATGTAATTATTGAAAAACTTATCAAGCGTCTTGATCTATCTCAATAGATCTTGATGCTCAATATGTAAGCAGCTTCACCGAGGTCTTTCATTGAAAAACCTTTTATTCAAGTATCCTTTTATGTTATCCAGAAATTCTATATCATTTCCAATCAACAATATGTCTTGCACATATAATATCAGAAATTCTACAGAGCTCCCACTCACTTTCTTGTAAATACAGGTCTTCCAAAAGTCTGTATAAAACCATATGCTTTGATCAACTCATCAAAGCGTATATTCCCACTCCGAGATGCTTGCACCAGTCCATTGATGGATTGCTGGAGCTTGCACACTTTGTTAGCATCTTTAGGATTGACAAAACCTTTCTGGTTGCATCATATAAAACTCTTCTTTAATAAATCCATTAAGGAATGCAGTTTTGACATCCATTTGCTAGATTTTATAAAATGTGCCAATTGCTAACATGATTCAGACAGACTTAAGCTTCGATACGAGTGAGAAAATCTCATCGTATTCAACACCTTGAACTTGTTGAAAACCTTTCGCAACAAGTCGAGCTTAGTAGATAGTAACACTACTATCAGTGTCCGTCTTCCTCTTGAAGATCCATTTATTTAACATGGCTTGCTGATCATCGAGCAAGTCAATCAAAGTCCATACTTTGTTCTCATACATGGATCATATCTCAGATTTTATGGCCTCAAGCCATTTCATGGAATCTGGGCTCATCATCGCTTCCTCATAGTTCGTAGGTTCATCATGGTCTAGTAACATGACTTCCAGAACATGATTACCGTACCACTCTGGTGCGGATCTTACTGTGGAAGACCTACGAGGTTTGGTAGCAACTTGATCTGAAGTTTCACGATCATCATCATTAACTTCCTCACTAATTGGTGTAGGAATCACTGGAACTGATTTCTGTGATGAACTACTTTCCAATAAGGGAGAAGGTACAATTACCTCATCAAGTTCTACTTTCCTCCCACTCACTTCTTTCGAGAGAAACTTCTTCTCTAGAAAGGATCCATCTTAGCAACGAATAACTTGCCTTCGGATCTGTGATAGAAGGTGTACCCAATAGTTACCTTTGGGTATTCTATGAAGACGCACTTCTCCGATTTGGGTTCGAGCTTATCAGGTTGAAAACCTTTTACATATAAGCATCGCAACTCCAAGCTCTAAGAAACGACAAGTTATGTTTACTGCTAAACCATAGTTCATACGGTGTCGTCTCAACGGATTTAGATGTTGCCCTATTAAACGTGAATGTAGCTATCTCTAATGCATAACCCCGAAACGATAGTGGTAAACCGATAAGAGACATCATAGATCGCACCATATCTAGTAAAGTACGATTACGACGTTCGGACACACCATTACATTGTGGTGTTCCAGATGGCATGAGTTGCGAAACTATTTCACATTGTTTCAAATGAAGACCAAACTCATAACTCAAATATTTGTCTCCGTGATCAAATTGCAGAAACTTTATTTTCTTGTTACGATCATTCTCCACTTCACTCTGAAATTCTTTGAACTTTCCAAATGTTTCAGACTTGTGCTTCATTAAGTAGATATACTCATATCTGCTCAATTCATCTTGTGAAGGTCAGTAAATAACGATACTTGCCACGAGCCTTAACACTCATCGAATCGCATACATCGGTATGTATTATTTCCAATAAGTCAGTAGCTCATTCCATTGTTCCGGAGAACGGAGTTTTAGTCATCTTGCCCAAAAGGCATGGTTCGCAAGCATCAAATGATTCATAACCAAGTGATTCCGAAAATCCATCTTTATGGAGTTTCTTCATGCGCTTTACACCGATATGACCCAAACGGTAGTGCCACAAATTAGTTGCACTATCATTATCAACTTTGCATCTTTTGGCATCAATATTATGAATATGTGTATTACTACGATCGAGATCCAACAAACTATTTCATTGGGTGTATGACCATCGAAGGTATTATTCATGTAAACAGAACAACAATTATTCTTTGACTTTAAATGAATAACCATATCGCAATAAACATGATCAAATCATATTCATGCTCAACGCAAACGCCAAATAACATTTATTTAGGTTTAACACTAATCCCTAAAGTATAGGGAGTGTGCAATGATGATCATATCAATCTTGGAACCACTTCCAACACTCATCGTCACTTCCCCTTTAACTAGTCTCTGTTTATTCTGTAACTCCTGTTTCGAGTTACTAATATTTAGCAACCGAACAAGTATCAAATACTCAGGGGATACTATAAACACTAGTAAATTACACATCAATAACATGTATATCAAATATACTCTTGTTCACTTTGCCATCCTTCTTATCCACCAAATATTCAGGGCATTTCCGCTTCTAGTGACCATTTCCGTTTTAGTATAATCACTCAGTTTCAGGCTTTGGTCCAGCTTTGGGCTTCTTCACGGGACTATGAAAACAAAAGTCTTCACGCTTCATGTTCCTCGAATGATTGCCATGTCTTCAAGGTCACACCAATTTCTTCACTTTCAAAGTCTTCAGAAATCCAAAGTCTTCAGTTGAAGAACTTCATTTTTAGGGGTCGACTTTCTCTGTAGATATCAAACTCCTCATAGACTTATATACCTGTGTACACTCACAAACGCATCAGTCCCTTAACCTATAAGTCTTCAATACACCAAAATCACTAAGGGGCACTAGATGCACTTACAGCTTTATTCCGGGTCTCTATTAAAAGGAGTCCTAGACTAAGGGGTCCTCGGCCTGCTGGCCTATATCTCGTGGGCCGGACAAGTGGGCCGTTCTGCAACTACTCGAAGGCCGAGCTATGAAGTGACTCCGTGTCCGGACAGAAAACCTTTGAAGTCTTGGTGTGCCCTCCAAGTCAAGATAAGAGAATCGACATGTTTATTCTTTCATGGTAACCGACCATGTCTAAACTAGTGCCCCTGGTGTCTATATAAACCAGAGGGTTTAGTCCGTAGAGGCTAGCTAGAACAAGAGAGAAACCATCCAACTCATCTAGGGTTTAGCTCATCCGATCTTGTGGTAGATCAACTTTGTAATTGTCATACACCCATCAACACAATCAAGCAGGACATAGGGCCTTACCTCTTCGAGAGGCTCTGAACCTGGGTAAACATCGCATCCCTGGTTTCCTATTACCCATCGATCCTAGATCCACAGTTCAGGACCCCCTACCCGAGATCCGCCAGTTTTGACACCGACATGGGTAGTAACATATGTGTGTGCCATGCAATCATTCATTTATTTGGCGTAGACTTATTTTTGTCTCAGTGTGCATTATGTTACCATAACATTTTTTTTCAGAAGTACTGTTACGGTAAAATTATATTACCACAAACATCTATCCTCATTGCTACTTGTCAAAATAAGCAAATTTGTGTGTTAGATTTCTTTTGCAGAAAACATCCGGACTATTCATCATGTCATGGTAGTACATAGAACATAGAAATAACAAAAATTGCACTCATGTTAGTAGACCACCTAGCGACGACTACGCAGAGGAGCGAGCCGAAGTCGCGCCGTTGCCGTCACCCCTCCCTCACAGGAGTCGAGCCAAGGCCACAAGAGACGAGGCAGACCGATGACGGCGTGAGGGAGGTAGAGGAACCCCGCCTCTCTTTTTACTTTTTGAAGGCGACGGTTGTGTCTAGATTTGCCTCTCAATTTGTGTGTTAAGTTGCATATCTAAATTACTTCCACCGTGACCCGCCTTATTAGTAGGTATAGATTTACTCCAACCTCATAACCATGAAAAGAGAAATCTTACTCCCCTCCGTCCCATAAATATATATTATGGGATCGGAGGGAGTACATTTTATGATTGCAAAAATAAAAAATGAGAACGAAAATGTGATCTAAATTTGGTAGGGCAAGAGGGAAAAGGAAAATCCCACTAGACGAACTAGTCGCTCGACTGGCTCTAGTCTGGTCGATTCTCGATTGTAGGCCACGACGAGAGGTGACTGACGCGAGGGGCCACCTTGTTGCTCGGTTGAGGCGAGCCAAATCCGGCGGTCAGCGGCCACCGTCGATCTCTCTCTCCCTTCCTTTCCTCTCGTCACCGCCGCCGCCGCCGCCATGCTCCGCCTCCGAAGCCGCATCCTCGCCCACCTCCTCTTTTCTCCCGCCACCTCTCCCCACCGCTCCCCTCATCCAGCCGCCTCGCACTCCACAGTCCACACTCCGCCGCCTCCTCCTCTCCGCGGCCGTTCCCCCACGCACCGGATTCGCGGTACAAGAGTACCTCGTCGAGACCTGCGGCCTCACCGAAGCCCAGGCACTCAAGGCCTCGGCGAAGCTCTCCCACCTCAAGTCCCCCTCCAAGCCAGACGCCGTCCTCGCCTTCCTCGCAGGCCTCGGCCTCTCCACCGCCGACATCGCCGCCGTCGTCCCCAGGGACCCGCGGTTTCTCTGCGCCGGCGTTGAGAGAACCCTGGCCCCCAACGTCCTAGGGCTTGCCGGCCTCGGCCTGTCACGCTCGCAGATCGCGCGCCTCTTCTCGCTCGTCCCCGGCGAATTCCGCCGTAGATCCATCGTCTCCAACCTACCATACTACCAGTCTCTCTTCGGCTCCTACAAGAACCTCCTCCGGGTGCTCAACCGGAACAACTCTCTCCTGGGATGCAGCCTCGACAAGGTGGTCAAGCCCAATGTCGCCTTCCTGCGGGAGTGCGGGCTAGGTGATTGTGATATCACCAAGCTGTGCTGCAAGAACACGTGGATTCTTAGCAATAACCCATAGCGCGTCCGGGCGATGGCGGCACGTGCGGAAGGTTTAGGCGTGCCCCGCTGCTCTGGAATGTTCAGAGAAGCGCTGATGGCTGTTGCAACCATGAGTCAGGAGATGATTGCCGTGAAAGTGAATTACCTCAAGAACACATTCAGGTGGTCAGAAGCTGAGGTGTCCATTGCTGTTAGTCGTTCTCCGATGGTGCTGGTGAGGTCTAATAACATGCTGCGGAGCAAATCAGAGTTCCTTATCTCTGAGGTGAGGTTGGAACCGGTATACATTGCTCATCGACCAGTAATTCTTGGGCTCAACCTGGAGGGCCGGCTCAGGCCCCGACACTATGTTATGAGATTTCTTAAGGCAAATGGATTGCTAGACTGCGACAGGAGCTACTTTTCTGCCTTCATGGTGACAGAGAAGGTATTCGTGGAGAAGTACATATGCCCTTACAAGGAAGTTGCACCACACCTTGCTGAAGACTATGCTGACGCTTGCAGAGGGCAAGTGCCAACTAGATTTAGAATTGCATGAACCAAGAATGGGCTATGAGAATCGGTAACTGTGTATGGTGCAAAAAAGTTTATGCTCTAATTAGTGAGCTGGCAATTTCTGTCTCAGTGTTCTTTGCATGTCTGGATGTTAGTTATCTGCTATAGTATGTCTGGTACATGTTAATTTTGTGTTGCTAATCCTGGATGAAACTGATAATATGATTGTGAGTCCTTGTATGCCCATTACATCATTCAGTAGAGAAAGAAATCATCGCATTGTAATGAAATTGTCCATTCTCATGTCAAACCATCTACGAGAGTGCGAGACCAGGGCACTCTGCAAATACTTTCCAAGTATCACTGAAGAGCTTATCTGCATGCTCTATAACTTTATTCTCAGTGACCATTGCAGCTTTCAATGCACAGTATTATGATAGGAGATTAACCTCATTGGTTCTGAATGAGACGCAGATGAATTTTCATGGCTACGGGTGGACAGTGGCGAAGGGAGCAGGCCCGCGAGAGGGCAGGGTGGAGAGCGGGGTAGCCAGCTGAGCTGGGAAATCTTGCTGTCGCAGGTCGCCTTCTGTGGCTGCAGCCAAGGGTTGCCGTCTCCTTGGTGTCCGATGGGGAGCTCGACCAGTTCCCAGCAGGCAGGTAAGAGGCAAGCTCTAGTCTTTGTGATGGATCAGTTTGATGGTTTGCCACGGGGGCACTTTGTTCTGTTCAAGTCCTGTTTACTTGGTTGTTAAGCCATATACCACTTAAATATGCAAACATGCTAGTTAAGCAAAAAAAAAGACTACTTTGTGTTATTTCGTCAATTACTACATCGCATTGCGTGTTAGTTTAGAAAGTGGAAAACTACATTGCGCCATTTTACAACTCCCTTCTTTTGTGGTGTTCTCTAATTGCCTTCCAATTTCCTAATGCTAGCCCAGTGCTGTTATTTACTCCCTCCATCCCATAATATAAGAGTGTTTGGCCACTACACTACACTAGTGTCAAAAATGGTCTTATATTATGGGACGGAAGGAGTAGCTTGCAATGCTGGTGGTCCTTGCCATGGAGAAATAAGGAACCTGAAAGAGCTGAACAATGTTTAATCTCTTCATATGTAAACATGGATATTGTAAGTTGTTCCCCTCATGTATGAAGACATTTCATGTGGATAATGCCAGCAGCCCAATAGACTGTCACTATCTCAACTTAGATATTTCAGATATTTTTAGTAGCCACACTATTCTGTAAGTACTTAATCACGACAGTTCCTCATGGTGACATGTTACTGAGATGTTTTCTTGGTGTTTCACCCAACAATTAATTTATTGAACCTGTTAAGAAAATATTTATACGGCTTAACTGAACTCTAGGTAAAATAGGTGCGTATATTGTTCCATGATTGAAGGAAGTTAAACAACCAAATGTGCTCATGCAATTGCTATTCCTTTGGAGTCATCAGCAAATGTTCGGAGTTCAGACCAAACTTGATATGTCTTTTAGTTCTACTCGAAAAGATGAATAAGATACCCAGTCCATTCAAGGAACTGCAAATCGAAAACATACGTCGAGTGGACACACAAATATCTTAGTTGCAGTCAAAATCAGGGGCATCAGGCTCACAATTTTCTCCTTTTTCAGTAGTCAAAAGTGAAAGGGCCAATGTTACACCTATTTTGTCCATAGGTGTACTTGTTCTCGTAGAAAAAAGCTTGGACATGTTGTATGTGCAAATATGAAATATGTAACATTGTCCCCGCTTAATTTGTTGCAGAATAGACGAGCAGATGCAAGGATATGATGCATGGAGGGCATTGGCTAACCACAGTCGTGTTGGCTAACCACAGTCGTGTTGGTATCGATTTGCTATGTTGTCTCAAGACTGCCCTGCCCCTTGTGTTAAGGTTTGGTTTCCTCAAAGATGATTATCAAATAATTATTGTTCTTGAAAATTGAGCTTTTGAAGAAATTAATAAACATTATCCAGATGTGCTTTTGAGTTGGAAGTAGTATATATATTTATATATAAAACTCCTTCACCCAACTGGGAGTTCTGCTTACTCTCATATTTGATTGTTGCACGCTTCCTGGGAACTGTTTAGGAGATTTTGCATGCATTGGGAGTTGGGTTCTTTGCGCACTTTGTTATCGCGTTCGACCTGATCTTGTAATATCTTGAACATACCTGATAGTGTAGTCTTTCGGGATTCCTCTTTGCCGTGCAGTATTGTGCCCTTCAGAATTCTTGTTCTGGTCTTGGATCTTGAAGATGCTTAATCGACCAGTGTTTCTGTAAATGACGCATTCAGAATTCTGAAGCTGCTATGCAGTATTATGTTGTATGATTATTTATGGATGGCAGTCTGGCACAATGGGCATGGGTGGAGCTTGAGCCCGCGAGTTCAAAATTGGCCTCTTCTAGGCAGAACATTTTGCCATGGGTAGAATTCCTATTGGTACATTATTAACCAATATAGTTAAAAAAAAAGCTCAGAGCATTGTCATTTATTCTCAACCATCAGGCTGTCTCACACATGCATTCAGATTAGAAGATGCAATTGGAATTATTGTGGTTGCATGTTCCATCTGTTTATGTCAAGACATTTGATACTCAAAGTTTTTTTGTGCGGCAGTTTATAATGCCACTATTTTGATTTGTATTGCTTTGCTTTTCGATGCTGGTATGTCCAGATTTATAGTTGTACTCATCGTGTTCGTCGTACTAGCTAGCAGTGTGCTGTGGGGTGTGGGTGATGCAAATGGCATGCAATGCATATTTCATACCGACCAAACTATACATACATAATAAACTAGTACTCCCTCTGTACACAAATATAAGACGTTTTAGATCACTGACAGCACAATTAATTTGAGGCTTCCTGAGAATGAGATGCTTTCCCAACTGTTGACTGATTCTACCAACTTTTGCAGAGTAAAAAGATGTGACGAACCCTTAAAGTTCTGGGAGGAGTCTGATCCCAAAGACAACCTCCTCTCGTGCACCAACATGATGAATTTCCGTGAGTTCGTGGGAGACCCAGGCGAGGTTGGCTTCCTGGAGTTCTTCGAGATCGGGCGGGCGCCGGAGACCGCATCTGTTTCCATGGCCAATCCATGGAAACAAGGCAAGGAAATCCTGGCAAATGGTTGTCCTTGGCAGTGCAGATTTTTCTTGCCGAGTCATCATTTCCTGAAAATCTCATGGTACCACGCAGCAAGCGGAGGTCAAAACAAGTCGGGGATTCCAGCTTGCATTCATTCAGCAAAAAATCTAAACTAAAATTAGTGAAAAGTCACCCTCAACTTTCTTGCTCTGAAAATTAGCATGCAACAAGTTAGTGCTGGCCAGGAGGTACATGCAGAAGATAAGCAAAGAGTTGTAGAGAAAATCTTAAAAGAGTCCCTGCCTTGTAGAGAATGAAGGGAATAAGTGCGAAATGACGTTGAAAATCAAAGCGATTTGTTTTTTTAAGAATAGTTCAGATAGTTCAACATACATGCAGAAGATAAGCTTACCTGTTCAACTGGTACATCACTTAGCATATCTGACTGGACAATCATCTTATGTATTGAGCAAAAGATCAGCTCCATCATGTCTACCACCAATGCTTGTTTCTGCAACTTGCAAGCATAAGAAGGAGAACAACCAATGACATTCCAATGCAAATCCAAATATATACGAGGAAGCATTAATAAGATATTTAGATAATAATTATTGTTCAAAAAAGGAATCAATCTTGATACAACATTAGGGATACATAAATAAAGCACATCTAGTACTTCCAAAGTTAATGAACGTTCCAAAAATAGTATAAACTGATTACTACCGTAAAAATGAAGATGCACACTCAAACTATAAGCTGGTCAGAAGAGACAAAGGTATCTGTAATTTTCAGATCATTCCATGCCATATTTGGGAAAAATATGTATATTATAATCAAACTAATAAATGCTATAAACACATTTAAGTTAACAAAATCCTAGCAACAGAACTTATCAGGACTATTAAGATTTGTATTATCTCAAAAGAAATAGCCTGGAAAAGATCATACTAATAAATCCTAGCAACATAAGTGATTGGGACTATTCAGACTTAGATTATCTTCAAATAAATTTAGCCTGAAAAATGAAATGAACTCAACCTACTACTTTTCCCTGGTACAAATGCATTTGCTACTCGCCCGCAATAGGACTCTCCTAAAAGTGATAAAAGGAACAATTACCTAGTAAATTAAAACAATTTTGTTATTATCAATTTGTGCTACCTGCGAGCAGTACAGTAACACAATTGTCTGTCCAAACAGAAAGGGTGCGCTTCAGATCGGTAACTGTTTATTGGTTTTTTACTAGCAGTTTGACACAGATGTATGCTAAACAAAGACGAACAACCGTCACTGCACGCATTCAGCTTTCTTTTTGCATCAAGCACAAGCTGCAGCTTCATAAGGGATTTGTTGTCTATAAATCTACAGTAGGTAAAATGGTACTTTTTGGCAGCTTATTACAACCTTCTGAATGTTGTTCTACTGAAATAATTCATGTAGAGGTTGCTTCTAGTTACAGGGTGAACCCTGACACGTCGTGAGCAACAAACAACAAATTAGAATGAAGTGGCATTTCCAATTTGGTGGTGTGCAGATTCCAACGGAAACATATCAGGAGATGCAGCCAAGATCACCCCGCAAGAACCAACAACTCAATTGCATTAAGATCCATTTCTCGCAAGAATCAACAATCCATTGCATTCCACTAACTACACAGACTGATCACCGATGGAATGACAACGCACGCACTCAGATAGGAAACCATATAGCACAGGAATACAGGCACCATTTTTTGCAGAGACTGAACGGAGATCAGCCGCCGAAGCCGTGGAGGGTGCGGCCCTGGCGCTTGAGTGTGTAGACGACGTCCATGTCGGTGACGGTCTTGCGGCGGGCGTGCTAGGTGTATGTGCCGGCGTCCTGGATGACGATCTCGAGGAAGATCTTGAGCACGCCGGTGTTAGAAGGTAGAGAGAAGGATTGGTGGAATAGTTCGTTTATTGCTTAAGCCTCGTGGGCATATATATAGGAGTACATGATCATCTTGGAGTACAAGTCAAGGTAGGAACGAATCCTACGCTATCCTATGTTTCTAAATAAACATTATACTCAACATCCCCCGCAGTCACAACCGGAGCGACGCAAACGGTGAGATTGGAAAGAATCCGAAAGCAAGTCGACAGACACCCCCCATAGTCGTAACGGTCGATGCATCGCAGAAGTTGTGGCTGGAGTGGAAACCGACGAGGTTGCTCAAGCAAGGCGGTAGCCCGTTGTGCCATTTGTCGAAGTAGCCAAGAGTGTAGGGTGGTGTAGCTGTGGTCGAGGTAGCCATGCGAAGAATGTCGTGGTTGATGTCGAGTCGGGGTAGCTGGTGTCGAGGAAGTCGTCGTGGAGCCGTGGGCGCAAGGAGGTGCCGAGTTAGTCATGGGCGCAGTGGTGTCGAAGTAGTGGTGCGCCGGGAAGAAGACGGTGTTGACGACACGTCGCGTCGGGTGTGCCCAACCCGAGGACACGTCATAGACGAAGGCACACGTCAGTGTTGCCAGCACCGAGCATGCATAGACGGACGAAGACGAAGTTGACGAAACGCCGCACCAGGCTTGCCAGGCCCGGGGACACGTTGTGGAAGAAGGCACGCATCGGTGTTGCCAGCACTGGGCATGGGTAGACAAGGGACCAGCACGAGCCGTATGCCATGTTGGAGAAGTCGGAGGGGCCAGAAGAGAAGAACTCGATGATGTTTGCGGCGTCCATCGGTGCGGGGGCGATGTCACCAACGGTGGTCGGAGTAGACGAAGTGGTCAGGATAGATGATGGCGACGCTGGCGACGAGCTGGTGCTTGGATGAAGACGAAGGGGGTGGACAGGCGGCGGCGACGGCTGAAGAAGAGCGGCAGCGGCTAGGTTAGTAGCGCGACGGCGGTGCTCGAAGTAGGCGAGGAACCCAACAGTGTCAGGAAGACCGGCGCGGATGATGGCATTCCCGTGCCAAGGGAGGCGGCGCGGCGCACACCACGGGTAGTCGACGCGCAGGGACGGCGGTGGACCGCGGGCCACAGCGCTACAGTCCGAAGGGGCGACACGGCGGCAGCAGGCTGGTCGGGGCGACGACGGGAAGACCTCAAGGCGGCGGTGAGGACCGCGGGCCATGGTGCTACAGCCCGAAGAGGCGACGCAGCGGCGGAGCGTGTTCGCTGCAACCGTGGGGACGGCCTCGGGGTGGCGGCTGGGACCACGGATCGCGGTACTATGGTCCAAAGGGGCGACACAGCGGCGATGCGTGAGTCGATGCAACTGCGAGGAGAACCACGGGGCGACGGCGCGTCAGCCCAACGGGGAGACACAGTGGTAGCCCGTTGCTCGATCAATGGAGGGGCGCGTTGAACTCGGGGACAATCTTCACGGGACCTGCGGAGTCGCGCACCACCGATGTGTCAGGTCGGTCGCGTGGCGTAGATGGGACGGATCGCGGCGGCGAGCAGGTGATCAAGCCGATCGCGTGCGAGGTCGTGGACGCCGCTCAGTGGAGGCGGAGTGGCGGTGGAGTCCGAGATGAAGCCGGCGACGAACGTAGCAGCGACGCCCGAGCAGAGGCAGTCGACGAGCCTGACGTAGCCGGGGACGAGGCCGGCGAGGCAGTCTGCAGGGCCGCCGTGTAGACACGGCGGAGTCGGGTGGCGTGGATCGATGGGTGGGCCGATGCGTGAACGGCGGCTATGATGGGCCGCCGCATGGCGCGAGGCCGTCGGGTTGGGGCGATGCAGGTGTCCCGGTCGGAGAGGGCGGTGATGGCCGGCGTAGATCGACGAGCAGGCCGGCACGGACGACGACCGTAAGGGGCCGCCTGTTGCACGACACCGCCAGGTCGGTGAAGAAGCCTGTCGGTCGCGCCGGTGTCGAAGTAGAGGCGCACAGGGGTTGAAGGCGGCAGTGGGCGACGCAAACAGATCAAGTATAGATCGGAAAACCAAAAAGAAAACGCCGATCAAAACGATCGATGAGAGAGCTAAAAACCCGGAGCAAGGGCTCGGGAAAAGACTCTCTAGGGCAGCCGGTCAACACGAGCGGCGTACGAACCCTAGGTACGGGCGGCACAGCCCCCGGCGGCGGTCATGGAGGCCGACCGCCCCAGGGGCGGCGCGCAAGGCAGAAGCAGCGTACGGCGGCTAGGATTGGATCGGTTAGGCTGATACCATGTTAGAAGGGAGAGAGAAGGATTGGTGGAATAGTTCGTTTAATGCTTGAGCCTCGTGGGCATATATATAGAAGTACAAAGTCATCTTAGAGTACAAGTCAAGCTAGGAACAAATCCTACTCTATCCTATGTTTTTTAAATAAATATTATACTCAACACGCGGGTCTCCTCGTAGATGAGCCCCGGGATGCGCTTCACGCCGCCTCTCCTCGCTAGACGGCGGATCGCCGGCTTGGTGATGCCTTGGATGTTGTCCCGGAGCACCTTCCGGTGACGCTTGGCGCCACCCTTGCCCAGCCCCTTCCTGCCATTGCCACGGCCGGACATGGTTGGCGGCTGCCTTCCTTGGAGCTGCGAGCGAGCAGATGGGGATCGAAAATGGAGGGGAGTAGTGGCGGTGGTGGCTGCAGCGGTTGGAAGAAGGGGAATTTAACGAGCGAGGAGGGTCAGCGCACCGTTGGATCCGGATAGAATGGACGGTGTAGATCTCGATCCAGGGAGAGATGGCGCGGATCGCTGAAGTGGCTCCCGTGTGGTGGGCGGCAGGTCAAAAATTCTGAATTTTGCCGGTTCCAATCATTGGTCCTCTGTTTCTTGCAACAAATTTGTTGAGATCTCTGAATTCGTTTGTTCGTTCATCACCTACGATAATACAAGAAGAGCATCTGCAACCATAAATCCATAATGTCCTAATTTGACCATCCGTATATCTGCAGACGCGACGTACAGAGCTGGTGACCCCTCGTTTATCTGCCATTTCAACCACCCCTCGTTTGCGCTTAAGGAGTGTCAAAACAAGGCCAGAATTAGGAAAGGCATCATCCGGGATGTGCTGATAATGACACACATCACATCACAGAAGCCCACGCGAGCGTCACACCGTCATCTAGCCTCGCAAACAATATTTGGAAGCTAACTCTAGGGGCACCCATCGCGACCCCCTCCAAGGAGCGAATGGCGACGTGACACCGCTGCCGCTTGTCTTGACATAGAATCAGTGGCGTAACCAAGGGGTGTGCCAGGTGTGCCATGGCACAC